TGGACTGTCTGAACTGAACTAGACTCCTTTGGTAGGATAGTTCTGGGATGCAGTTAGTGTCTAGAATGCCACAAGACTGTGCACCACCATTATCTTGCTGAAGTTGAAAGTGCCTTACGCATAGTAGGATGCCAAACACAGTGTTCAAATGTAGGTGTCCTCACTTAGGCTACGTCTATGTTGGCAAGATCTTGTGCAAAAGTGGCCGCTTTTGTGCAAAATCTTGCCACCTGTCTACACTGGCCGTGAGTACTTGCTCAACAACACTGACGTTCTAATGTATAAAATCAGTGCTTCTTGCACAAATACTGACGCTCCCGTTCAGGGATAAGCCCTCTTGTGCAACTGTTCTTGCGCAAGAGGCCAGTGTAGACAGGCAACATCAATTTCTTGCGCAAGAAAGCCTGATGTTTAAAATGGCCATCGGAGCTTTCTTGCGCAAGACAGCATCTACACTGGCACGGATGCTCTTGCGCAAAAGCACATATTTTGCGCAAAGGAACATGCCAATGTAGATGCTCTCTTACTCAAATACTCTAACGCAAAAACTCTTGCGTTTAAAAAATATTTGCGCAAAATCTTGCCAATACAGACGTAGCCCTGGTGTCTTGAACTGATTTTTGATAGAGCTGAAATGCTGTATAATTCTTATCATGAGCTGGTGTGACTAGCTTAAAAAACCCCTCACAATGTTTTGAGTTAATTAAATATTAGTATCTTGTCTGCATCGCTACTATCTGGGTTATTTTTAAAAAATAGGTGAGCCTGCATTGTTCTGCTTATCCCACACCATGGAAGAGGTGTATGTATTAAGAGGAAAATGGTGGCATGGATTCATTCAGCTGTGACAATAGGCCACTTTGCATTCTTGCTATGTTTTCTAAACGAGATGTGTTTCACAGGTTGGTAATGCTAGGGCTATATAGAAGACTAAGCTAGCTGGCTCTTACTTGCTGTTACTAGCTGGTCAGGGCAGTTTAAATATTTCATTTTAATACACTGGATGCGTGTACACTTGGTTGACTTAAAGGACATTTAATTTTTTTAAACTGTGGAAATAAATATTCTGGTGCCCTGTTTATTTTTCTCTTGTAGATGTTATGTACAATGGAGAAATGAATGAAAAGATAAACATGTTATACAGGCTGCATATCCCTCCTGGTAAGATATGTTGAAAAGAAAAGTCCATTCTCCCTTTCTCTTCCAGTCCCCATAAACAGACACTTTGGGAAACAGATGTTGCTAAATAAATGTACATTTCTGCCCTCAGCCGAGATGATGTGCACTCTGCATTTTAATGGTGCTAGTCAGCTACAATTTTCACAAAATTCCAGTATATAATCTTTGATTAAATTTGAAACTTCTGTGTGTCTGTCTTCCTGTAACAAGGGAGTTCACAGCTACTATACTTAAGGTATCTTGCAGTCAATGCTGGGTCTTAAATGCCACCTTTAACATGAAAGATAATTTTCTTGCTGAGCCCAGAGAATTAAAATGTAATAAAGCTCTTAGTTTAGTGATTCTGGAAATGGTCCGTTAATATCTCAATTCTTTTTTTGCTAGCTCTCACAGAAAATGAGAGAGACAGTCAGTCACCACTAAAGAATCCTTTATTGTCTACTTCGAGGCCACTAGTACTTGAAAAAGCAAATGGTATGTACTAATAGAGCTGTCTAGCTCTAAGTTCATTAGTGCTCAAGTTTTTCCTCTTTTCCTAGTTTTTTTTAGAATTTGTTGCAGTGAATTTAAAACTAATGCTTGTTTTATTTTCTCCTCGTAAGGTGATACAGTAGATTACCAGAAGCAACTGAAGCAGATGCTTAAAGATTTAGCCAAAGAAAAGGATGCTAAAACTGAAAAAGCAATGCCTAAAATGAGCCAGGTGGTATATTTAAAATTACATTCTCAATGTGAGGGTGGGAAATACTTTTTAAATATGTCTGAGCACACCTGTGCAGCCCTTTCTAATGGCAGGTACTGCAAACAAATCTAAAATTACTCCATGTATGAGAACCAGAATTGGAATTATTTTGGATCAGGTGAAACTAATCCAAAAGATTAGGGACTTTTGCAACACCCCACCAGCAACTCTCTTTTTAATTGAGAACCCATGTGACCCCACTGCCTGCACATACACTAATGTAGTACTGGGAGAGATTCTCTCTCAAATAGTTGGTCCAAGCTATATCTACATTTTCTGTGGGCCAACAAGCAGCTAATGCAGAGTCTAGAGATCACTTGTTATGCTTACTAGGAATGTAAAATCCTGTTTTAATTTGTGTTTACTGGTTAAAGGGGGTAGGCCACTCTAGGGCCTGCTCCCCAACTGTGGTGGGCCCCACAGGCCTGGAGCAGCCCCCTACCCATGGTGGGCGGAGAGCTCACATCCCTAGTGCTTACAGCACTGTCAGTTTCTGGGTTGACTGAAGGTGTCACCCCATCCCAAGGCTAATCACATGCCATCCATTCCCATGAAACCGTAATGGATTGGAGGCATATATGAAATCTGGTCTCTGACATTTTAAATTAGGCAAGTATTACTTTGGCATTTTGTCAAACTGCTAAAAATGTTATAATTGTATCAAGAGTTTGCAGAACTTTTGCCTTATACATGCCCAAAGTTTTACAGCTGTTGTACTGTATCCATGACATGGTATATATCTGTGATGTGTGTGATCAATAATTTGACCTGTTCTATCATTTCTCTTGCCTTATAAGAGGGAATTCATCCAGTTCTGCAAAACCTTGTACAGCATGTTTCATGAAGATCCAGAGGAAAACTATTTGTATCAAGCCATTGCTACTGTGACCACTTTACTACTACAGATTGGAGAAGTGGGTCAAAGAAGCAGCAGCTTGGGAAGTGGATCAGATGAATTTACTGAGGACCTACAGCCTGAGGCCTCTGCCCAGGACCCTGTTTTCACTGACACTGTGAAGACTACACATAAAGAAACTCAAGCGTTACCTGTGACTGAAGGGAACTGGATTATCTCCTTTGAACAAATTTTAGCATCACTCTTGACCGAACAGTCATTAGTAAATTTCTTTGAAAAGCCTTTAGAACTGAAACCAAAATTGGAGAATGCTAAGCTAAATCAATATACTCTCAAAACAAATGGAAAGAGCAGCCAGTCACTAGCTGAACCTGTAATAAATACACAGTAGCAAATTTACCTGAAAGTAACTGCACTGAAGTTACATCAAAGCACATTTTGTGAAGGAAAAGCAAGTTTATAAACCAGTTAATTGTTTTGCTTGCTTTAAAAGCTGAAGGGGTGTAGTTTGTGCCATTGATTTATTAAACATGTCTGAATGTAAAGGAAACATCTGTCTGCACTGTGAAAACTCTGAAGACCCATTATGTACTGAGAGAACAGAAGCTGGTTCCAGTAGTCTTGTTACCCAGCTTTTTTTTTTTTAATTTGGGGAAAACTCAACTATTGTCTACAGTTTATGTGGTGGTTTGGGTTTTTGTTTTGTTTGCACTAATCCTGAGGACTTGTTTCAATGCTGGTAATTGAAACTATTTTAATATTTTTGATTGTATTCAGATTTGAATGTCTTGCTTATGTTAAGTGTACATTGGACTGCTTCTGATCTGTGAAAAGATGCACTTTTCAATTAAACCTTTTTGTACTGGATTTTAACGTCTCGAAAGTAGGGGTACTGTATCATCTCTTCAACTAAGGAATACTTCATGAAGTACTTGCATGATACTCCCTCTAACTCTCCTGTGCAAAGAGTACTTTTCAAAATGGGGGATAATACTGTGTGTTACTTTTCATGCTTTAAGGAGATGTAACTTACCAAAAAAGGAACCCACCCCCTACCATCCCTCAGATACCAGACATTACCATAGAACACTAAAAATCAAGTGTCTTGCTTCTAATGTAGATGTTTGAGGATACAGAAGACATGAGAGAATCTCTACACTGCAGCAGAGATCAGGGTTTAAGCTGCAAAGGATAAACCTAACTGTGGATGGTCCCTAGTCAAGTTCTTTTTCCTCAACTTCCTAGGGTTGTTTAATTACAGATTGGGTGGGAAAAAAATCTCTCTTCTTTTTTGGTTGTGAATTTCCTTCTAATTTCACTGACTATCTCCTTGTTTTGAGGTGGGTACAAGATGCTGCTTTACTTCTTATAATGTAAACAATATTTTTTAGAAAGACTGGTAGCAGAAGAATTAAAATAACACCCCAATAAAACATGTAGAAATTTCAGATGGCTCACCACCAAATGCTGTCTCAGATACCTTGTTCTTTTAATGCTCAAAGACTAAAGCATATCCAAGTGTCATTTTTATAACTTTATTGTAATGAAAATCAGTTTAATTTTCATCCACATTGACTGTCTGTAGACCTGCAAAAAATACAAATTAAGTTGCATTAATAACCACTACTTCAAATCTTAGATACACTCAAAGCCATAACTGGAAGTTAGCCACAAGATCAAGACTTCTGCTAAACTTGTTGATATGAGCATTCTTAAAGTGGCAAGTATTGCCAGCATTTAGAGTATAACAACTCACATTTATGAATCTTTTTAATCTAGTAACTAGGAAGGTTAAATTTAGATTAAATAGTCAACAGGATTTCCTTCCACCAGTCTATAAGGGTGCCTCTGCTTTTGAACTACAGGCAGTCCCCAGGTTACGTACAAGATAGGGACTGTAGGTTTGTTCTTAAGTTGAATCTGTATGTAAGTCGGAACTGGCGTCCAGCCGTTGCTGAAACTGACCACCAGTTCTGACTTACATATAGAATCAACTTAAGAACCCCAAGCGTCCCCAAGTCAGCTGCTGCTGAAACTGATCAGCAGCTGATTCCAGGAAGCCCGGGGCAGAGCACCCCATCTGCTCTGCCCAAGGCGTCCTGATTCAGCCGCTGCCGAAAATGACCAGCAGTGGCTGAAACAGGACCAGAGCAGCAGGGGGTGGAACCCCCCCCCCAGCTGCTCTACCCCAGGGGTAGGCAAGAAAAGCCTGGTCTGCTGGGGGGGGCACTAGCTGCACCCCTCCCCCAGCAGACCAGGGATACGGGGGTGGCGGGACCGCCCAAGTCCTCCACGGCTTTGCTCCATCTCTCTGGTCTGCTGACCTGGGAGACGCGGAGCAAAGCCGCAGAGCACGCGGGCAGCGGGACAGTCCAGGCGCGCCACGCTGTCCCACTGCTGGCGTGCTCCGAGGCTTTGCTCCCCATCTCCCTGGTCTGCTGGAGAGGACAGGACAGCCCAGGCGCGCCTGGGCTGCCCCGGAGCCCCAGCCCCTCCGTGGCTTTGCAAAGCTGCGGGGGAAGCCGGCGGCGGGACAGCCCAGGCGTGCCTGGGCTGCCCGGCTGCCTGAGCCCCTCCGCGGCTTTGCTCTGCGTCTTCCTGGTCTGCAGACCAGGGAGACGCAGAGCAAAGCCCCAGAGTACACGGGCGGCAGGACCGCGAGGTCCCGCAGTCCGTGTACTCTGGGGCAGCCCCGTTCGTAACTGCGGATCTGACATAAGTCGGATCTGCGTAAGTCGGGGACTGCCTGTATATAGCAAGAGCCCTGCTACAGTTCAAAAGTGGAGGCACTGCAGCACCTGAGGCTTTGAATGCACAAGACCCCTGACAGGGCTCTTGCACACAGCAGAAGCAGTGTAAATGCAGACTGTTTCAGTCCCCGCTCGTGCCATTTCTGCTGTGCCTCTACTTCCCCTGCTCCCCCTCGCTGCCTCTCTGATAGAGGTAGTGGGGGAAAGAGGGGAGACTAGTCCCTTGCATCCCTACTAGTGACAGACCACAAAATTCATAGAATTATTCAGCTTCATTAGACTTCTGTTTGGGTGTGAGCGCAGCAGAAATTTAAGAGTAAAGCTCTTTGACAGGATCCACAGTCTAGCCAGCAAGCTAACACTATACTAAAGCAACCGTGGCCAACCCACAGCTCACGAGCTGCAAGGGGCTCTTCCCACCTACACCCCCAAAAATAGCCCTCTCCTCTCAGCTCCTTGTGCTGACCTGGGCAGGGGAGCCATCCGCATGGCCATTAAAGATGATGTTGGCCAAAAACACTCAATGCATTTTCTTAAAGGGGCAGAGCTTCCCCTCCCCCTCAAATGTAACCAGGGGCTCCTTTTAAAGGAGCAGCCTTTTTTTGCTTTGCTCAACAACTTTGCCCCAGCTCTGCACTGGACCCACTTGGCTCTTTGCCCAGAATGGATTGGCCACACCTGTACTAAAGTGTCTACAGGTATCTGGAAGAATCTTCATTGTAAACAGACACTTCAAAGGCTTGTACTAATGTTCCCTCTAATCTTTTACATCCATGTATGGAATAAATTTTGAATATCACCAGTAGAAACAAACCTAATCAGCTGTATGGCATCTGTGCCTCATGAGTTGCCACACAAGTGCACAACATACAGGGAACAGTAGTATGCGCACTTACTTTTGAAAGTGGTGACTGGTACATAGGTAACCAGTGTATACAGTTTGTTGGGTGAATCTTCATCCTCATTGCGTTTTCTGGATAAACGTACACGGATACGGTAGGGAACGTTCCTAAATTGAAAATATTGCATAAGTTAATATAGTTTAATTTTCAGTGGATCTCTTAAAGTGAGGAGCTAGAGCTAAGGCTCTCCCAGGAAGCAATCAGTGGACCTAAAAAAGTGACATTTGGAAATAAGCACAGATGAGTCCACTTTGAGGAACAAGCACTATATGTGTGCCAGCTATATCTCCTTGCCAGTGATTAACAGTAATACCAGGCAAAGAAAATGAATGCATTCTGGACCTGTCATGTTCCCCATCACTACCCAGCTTGAGCCAGGAAAGCTAATAATCCAAATAGCAGACCAAATTCAGTGATGAATCCTTATTATGTGCCAACATGTTAGGGTAGCAGGAACATGGTTTTTTAAAGGGGAGTATCAGCCACAGATAACATTTGAAGCACAAGTGGCCTACAAGACAGTATGGCTACGTCTAGACTGGCATGATTTTCCAGAAATGCTTTTAACAGAAAAGTTTTCCATTAAAAGAATTTTCGGAACAGAGCGTCTAGATTGGCAGGACGCTTTTCCACAAAAGCACCTTTTGCGGAAAAGCGTCTGTGCCAATCTAGACGCGCTTTTCCGCAAAAAAGCCCCGATTGCCATTTTCGCCATCGGGGCTTTTTTGCGGAAAACAAATCTGAGCTGTCTACACTGGCCCTTTTGCGCAAAAGGACTTTTGCCCGAACAGGAGCAGCATAGTATTTCCGCAAGAAGCACTGGTTTCAGACAGTAGGAAGTCAGTGCTTTTGCGGAAATTCAAGCGGCCAGGGTAGACAGCTGGCAAGTTTTTCTGGAAAAGCAGATGATTTTCCGGAAAAACTGGCCAGTCTAGACACAGCCTATGTGTATTTAGGCCTACACTAGTCCTTCAAAGCTAGTCCCAGATTAGTACAGATTGAACCTCTCTGGTCCACCATGATTTTAGTAAGCCAGATGTTTACTTATGGGTGTGGCCAAGTTTCCTGGTGGTCCTATAAAGTTTGTTTACAGCCCCCGGCCCTGGGCTGTTACTTAGGGGCAAATTAGAGCTAAATGTCTTCTAAGAGCTCAGTAAGCAGTGGAAGTGTTAGTAATGCTCGACAAGACTGACCTCCCATGTTTCGACAAATTCTTTGGTTTAGCACTGGTCAGGTGTTGAGGGAGCCAAACTAGAGAAGTTCAACCTATATCTCCATATATCTTATTTTTAGTATGCTACACAGTTGAGCAGGGAAGTACAACATGATCTGACCAAACTCCTTTTGAGGAGAACCTAGATAGCCACTGCCCAGGGTACAGAATTCAAGACTGACAACCCATCAGAAGAATCAGACTTGTCAGAGTAGAGCTGTGAGGAAGAGATGAGTCCACGAACAGACTGATGTATTAAGTATTGCCCTCTGCCCCTCTTTTCTGCCTGTTCACCCTCCCACCCCCAACAGCAAAGACGACCACCTCTGATCTAGAGGATCTAGTAAAGACCCGCTAAATTGAACATTGATGGTGCCCCCATCAACCACAGCACTCCTCTAAGTTGAGAGAATAAGGGAAGTTGATGGGAGCAATTCTCCCATCAAACTCTCACTGTGGGGACAAATTAGACTTAAGGTATGTTAACTCCAACTACATTATTTACATAGCTGGAGTTGAGTGCCTTAAGCCAACTTTCTGACTTGAAGCATTAATTTACATCAGCAGGGGAAGCTCACCCACCACCACAGCGCTATGCACACTAACACTTAAGTCAGTATAACTTTGTCAGACTATTCACTCACATTGAACAAGTTTTGCTGCTACAGGCGGCAGTGTAGACCAGTGATCTCTAATTTTAACCACAAGATCACTTTTTCAATTTAAGTGCAATGTAAGATCTACCTGAAACCCAAATACCCTTGCCTGGCTTCCTGCCCTCCCTTCTCTGAGGCCTCACCGCTGCTCACTCCAACCCCCTTCCTCCCCAAATCTCATTCACTTTCACCAGGCTGGGGTAGGCGCTTGGAGTGCAGACTCTGGTCTTGGGCCAAGGAGTTTGGAGTATGGGAAATGGGGTGGGCTCTGGAGCAGCTTAGGGTATGGGTCATTCACCTGGGGAGCACAGGGTGGTGGGCTCAAGTCCGCCCCCCCCCATAGCAGCTCAAGTTCTGCCCACACTGGGAGTAAGCAGACAGCCACCATAGGATAAAGGACCCTCTGAAGGTAGGGAGGTTGTTCGAGTTGGCAAGGGGATACCACGTTTGCCTAGGGAGTGTAGGGTTGGGGGCTTGAGACCCACCCACCCAGGCAGCAGCTGGGCATCCAACACAGGCTGCCCCAGGGATGGAGTTGGCTCCTGCATTAGGAAAGCAGGATAAGGGACCCTCTGAAGGTAAGGAGGTGGGGTGGGTTCTGCAGTGGCCTAAGGGATACGCTTTTGCCTGGGGAGCATGCAGAGTGGTGGGTTCGAGTTCCACCCCCCTCCACAAGTAGCCAGACAACTGTCCCAGGATTGGAGCAGCAGAGCTAAGGTAGGCTCACTCCTGCCCTGGCCCTGCACCACTCTTGAAAGCAGCTGCTCCTCGTCCACAGACACCAACCCCACAGCCTCTACTGGCCACAGTTCTCCATACTGATCAATGGGAGCTGCAGGAGTGGTGTCCACAGGCAAGGACAGCATGTGGAGACCCCCTGCTCTGACTTTCTCAGGGGCTGCAGGGACATGCCAGCCCCTTCCAGGAGCACAATTACCACAGGGATAATTACTCCAGCCACGGCAGGCCTGGCATTTTAGAAACTCATTACTCAAAAGATTTAAGTGTAAGAGAGAAATGAAAGTTATGGAATGCACAGACCAGTCAAAAACCAAAAATAACCCACTTTGCAAGCAGTAAAATTAACAATAACCCCCCATGTACGTGTTGGGTCAGGAGATGAGGGAAGGACAGTGTGTTTGTGAGAATGACAGACACATGCACAGTGTGTGCAAGTGACACGCACAGTGTGTGCAACATTGCCAAGTTCCCTTCATCTCCTCCTCTGTGTGGAGATAGGGTCCAGGAGTGGGGGGAGGAGGGACACCCTTCTCCCTCCCACACCTTACAAAGCCAACAGGAAGCTCCCAGGGGGTAGCTCCAAGGCAGGCTCAGCATGATAGTGGATGGAGGGGCAACTGAAGTGCCAGTGGCTGATAGGTGATCCTGACTGGTTTGGCCAGGAACCTACCAGAGGCTCCAAGATCTACCGGTAGATCCCGATCTACGGGCTGGCGACCACTGGTGTAGACAGTGAGACCAACATTAACACATTATTGATACACCAAATTCATATTCAGCTGCAGCCCAACCTTATTCAAAACCTGTTGTTTTTTTTTTAAATGTGAAAGTCACTGGGTGCCAAGTTTCTGTCTCTGGGCATGCACATAATGCTGAGGCAAGCATCAGGATACTTGTCTGACACCTACACCCCAGCATGATTCTCACAGCAGATGAAGACCTTGCCTGCAGGGTCTTATCTAGTAGGCGAGCACACCTAATTCCACATAAAATGACCAGGTTAGGATGCTCACCTGCAAGTTGGGGAATCCCTGTTCAAATCCTCTTCTCTTCACAGAAAGAGGGGAACTGGTATCTCAAATCTGGGCGAGTTATCTAACTAGCAGGCCAAAGGTTCTAAAGGTCTATATCCCCACCTCACTAAACTTGTGTGAAGAAGCAGTTCTCAGATGCATCTTGTAACTAGAGATAGGACTACACTTAGCCATAAATGCTGGGCTTCCAAAACAGTCATCTTAGGCATTTCCAATTGATTAGTATGGGCAGCTCCCCACCTAGTATACTGGCTTGTGTGGATCCCATTTTCAGATGCTTCTTTTTTCTTTCTATTCACAGCATATGGAGTCAAGGTTCCTAACCCAGGGTTTGTGGCTTCCAGTCATTTTCCAAGAAGCTATGACCCTTTGTGGATTTGGGTCCATAAGTCCAAGCTCTCACTTACTCATAATACCAGAACAGAAACATTTGCAAGTGAAAAGCAAATACTGGTCAGCAGGAGAGATACTTAAAAAATTCTCTCACTTCTGCATTTGTGAAATTCTTCCTCTTCTACTCATTATTAAAACACCTGGGACGTACCTTATCCCTTTGGCCCATACTGCTTTGTTCAATCTGGTGTCAATGCGTACATCAGGAGTGCCCATCTCCTTCATTGCAAATTTACGGATTTCCTTGAGAGCACGGGGTGCGCGTTTCTTGAATCCCCTGAGAACAGAGAACAGGGATGTAATAGTGTAGTTGATTAACTGATAAGCAAAAGCTTACTGGTGAATGTTATAGAGACTATACCCTCCGCCCCCGTTCCCACAAGTAAAGTTTTAGCAGGCTGGCCAGCAGCCCAGCTCAGTATTGGCTCACACCAGGTCTGGGATCTACCCCCTGGTGCAGCTCAGCATTTAAAGAGTATTAGGAGTCAGGCGGGCAGGTAGCCCAGCTCATTTCTGGCTCGTGATAGATCCAGGAGCTCAGCACCCCATCCTGGACACGGGCTGCTTCTGTTCATCAGAGGCAGCAGTGCAGGGAGACAGGCAGCTGGTCTGTGAGGGGAGCTGGTTTTTAAACTGGCTCCCCTCATGGACCAGCTCCCGCCAGGCACCCTGCGCTGCTGCCCGATACAGAGTGGGGGGGGCTCCTCAGGAGAGGGGCCGGAGCACACTAGCTGCTGGCCCCACCCCCAGGGACTATAAAGTTGGTGAGTAACTGATAAGAATTCATAAGGTTAATCAACTATTCAATTAACCAATATTTAACATCCCTAGAAAATAGTAATTTAGCTAATCTTTCATAAATATTCTTAGCACTGGAAACTTGCCACAGCAAGATGGTCATTCCATAATCATATAAAGTTAAAAAGGTTTTGTTGGACTGTCCTAACCTGTTCATTGTTCCAACAGCTTTTCTTTACTTATCTCAAGATGTGGGTTGTGTCCACAAAAGCTCATGATACTATCTATCTTTTTTGTTAGTCTCTAAGGTGGTACAGGACCACTCGTTTAAGTTTCTCAAAAACCAGTAAGTTATTTCTAAACAGACACAGGTGTATAATGTACATACAATTTCATCAACATTTACTTCTAAATGTCTGTTGTATTAACTGGCCCCCAGGGCTTATATCAAGTCGTTCCTTGGATGTGATTTTTAACCTAAGGTAGCACAGCATACATCCAAGCACTATTTGTATATCCTGACAAATTAATATATAATGCTAGGAGTCAGTGAGGAAAGAGAAGGCAAGAGCAAGAAAAGTGCCCCCCCCCAATCTGCACTGAAGTAATGATATTTATGAATTATCTACTTGTAGAAAAACGTCACTCAGATATTTCCCTGTTATTAGTTCTTTATCATTTATAAAGAGTCTCTCTCCTATTTGAATGTAATTAATTATACAACCAGAGAAATGACTGAGAATTGACAGTGTTCTTGATCAAGTCTTCTCCCGGACTGTGTTATAAACCAGTTGTTCTGTACCATTCTCAGGACAGACATGATTAACCAAGACTTAAATTGCTTTATTCAGCTCATGAGATGTTAGTCTGTGCACATTTAAAATGCCCATAGATTGCACTTGGTTTTTTTCCCCATAGAGAAGTCTACTTGTTTCACCAAGGCATAATAATTAGCCCAGTCTTTTCACAGGTTTTAGCATCCTGATACCATACTTCTGTTATTTTGTTGTACACAGAGCTACTCACATCTAACCATAATGATGCTTAATTTATATTAATGTGTATTGGAATTATTCTTTGAAAGCTTATGAGCAAAAAACCTAAACAACAGTATTTGGAAACATGTTTACTCCTTATAAACTTGACATCAGCGTGCTAAACCTAGGAAAATTCATGAAAAGCGAGAAAAGCTTTTGAAGAACTGCATTTGTCAAAAACTATAACCACTCAGGCTTTGATGTTGTCTATGCCCTTACATGCAGGTGCAAAACTGAGGCCTAAAATATCCTTTCATTCCAGTCAGCACTTTTGATGACACTCATCCACTTACTACAACCATTTCCAAACACCAACAACTTGAAGTAAATAAGATAAGGACAATTTTTTTTGGCACAAACAAGACATGAAAAACCCACTCACACTCCATGGATCCTTTTGTGAATGTTGATGGTATATTCCCTAGTCACCACCTCATTGATAGCAGATCTCCCCTTCTTCTTTTCTCCACCTTTCTTTGCTGGAGCCATCTGTCCAACACTGAAAATCATAGGTACAGGTCTAACTTTGAGTCTTTCCACCAAGTCATTTCCAACCTTTTAACCCCTCAGACATTAATTTCTAGGGGTCAGAAGTTTATTTTAGCGTAATCAGCTTTTTATAGAGCACAAGCCTTGCAGATTTCAAAACATGCAGCTCCAATGTGATAACTCCCCATGTTTCACTTTAGATAAGCATATTCCGCCCCCCCCCTCCTGTCCCAACACCCTGAAGCATAAGTCCAGGCTTTTACACTCGGCTCCAGCTTTTGGGTGCTCGCTAGGAAAACTGCTTGGCCCTGCCCACACAACATGGGGCAAACCCTAGCACTGGAGATGCTGCTAGACAAGCACCCACTCCGCTCCTGAGCCCCAGACCCGTGGGGGTCCCTGTGCCCACACCCCGTCCCCCCAGGTCTTGTCCCTACCCTGAAGCATAAGTCCAGGCTTTTACACTCGGCTCCAGCTTTTGGGTGCTCGCTAGGAAAACTGCTTGGCCCTGCCCACACAACATGGGGCAAACCCTAGCACTGGAGATGCTGCTAGACAAGCACCCACTCCGCTCCTGAGCCCCAGACCCGTGGGGGTCCCTGTGCCCACACCCCGTCCCCCCAGGTCTTGTCCCTATGCCGGTGTCGCCTCCCCCCGCCCATCCCTGGGCCCACAGCTTCACTCCCAGCCCTGGGCCCACATACCCCCCCGCCAGGCCCTTCCCCCTCACGGGCGCCGCGAA